TAATATAAATAAACATAAATATACCTAGTTTATAAATGTACAATATTTATAAGTGTGTCTATGTAAAATACGGACAGAACCAGGTCCTGCTAAAATGGTCTAATGGCTTTTAACTTCAGAGGATTACCCCTGCCTAACTGGGGACATTAAGATTGGCCTCAAAAATATACATGTGATGTTTTGAATTTTGCTTCTGTTAGTGGATCAGGCTTTGCTCCCATAACTTAAGGGTGGGAGTTCATCTCAGGGGAATTTAACTGCCTGAGAGGAATGCCTGTAGTCTTAGATACTTGTTTGTGCTCCCAGAGCTGGCAGCAGAGAGACAGGCTCCTCCAGAGAGTAATTCCCCACGTATTAAAAGAGACGTCTAAAACTGGTGAGATGAAAGACTTTCTAGTCATGTCTGTTTCTCTCTGTCAGTGAGAGGGAGACCGGATGAATTGCTTAGACTAGACATTTCATGTTTGGAAAGCTGAAGCTAGGTGGGAAGGCTCCCATCACACATCTCCAGAGGTATGTGGGCTCTGCAAGCCCAGGGTTCTGCCTGCTCTGATAACTTGAGGGGGGCTTGTATTTTCTGGAAATGAAATAATCTGAAAAATTTCACAGGCGTTGTAATAACCTACACTGTTCAGGTGGTACATTATGTTTAAGGGCCAAACATATAGGTTGGAAGATGCGTCTTTGGTTCCTAGTTACAGGTTAGCCTTTCCTATGCTGCCCCAAGGATCAATTGGCCTTTGCTTCCCACCCGCTTTGGGGAAGACTTCTACTAAAGCCATGAAGCTTCTGTTGTTCAAAAATGTATGTTGCTAGTGGGCATCAGCCAAATCTGCCTTAAGGGCAGATAGATTAGGTGAAGCGGGCGTCCTCTAAGTTCTTATCAACTGCTCTTTTCAAACTTTGATTGATCCTGATATGGCGCTTTTGTTTCTCACTCACCTGCAGAGCCTGGAGTTTGCACTGTATTTGGAGACCCTCACTACAACACTTTTGATGGACGGACATTTAACTTTCAGGGAACATGTCAGTACGTTTTGACGAAAGACTGCTCCTCCTCTGCCTCGCCCTTTCAGGTGCTGGTAAAAAACGATGCCCGTCGGACCCGTTCTTTCTCCTGGACAAAATCAGTGGACCTTGTGTTGGGCAGAAGCACTATCAGCCTCCAGCAGCACCTCACAGTGAAGTGGAATGGGACCCGCATCTCACTACCTTGCGAGACACCGCAATTTCAGATCGATTTGGATGGTTATTTGCTGAAAGTGACAACCAAAGCAGGTAGGGCAAGTGTGGGTGTGTGTGTCTTCTCCCTGAAGAACTTCTCAAGTGCAACATGAACAGCAGTCAGTAAAAAAGCGTGATAGCAGTAATAAGCATAGTTATAATTCTTTACAGACCTGAGGAACCCAAAGTGCTTTCAAAATCCCTGCAGCCCACAAGCAGACAGAGATCCCAGCTATGAGTTTGAAGTCTTTGCAGAACATTTACTAAGCTATGTCTCATTCTGCAGCTGACAATTAACTGCCTGCATAGACGAATATGCCATGAATTAACTTCCAATAACTTAACGAGTGGCTTATGCAGGGTCATCATTTGATATTTACAGATAAGAAGAGAGAGGAAATCAGTTCTTAAACATAACATTCAGGTTTTTTCCAAGTTGCAGCAACATACCTTACAGTCTAAGTCAGCAATTATATAAAATCATAGTTACTAATGGCTGGAATAAGTTTAAGTTGTCAAATTATGGAAATATTTCACTGGGGCTACCCAGAAAAATGGAGGTCCTGGTTTGAAAACCAAGGCCTAATTTGCTGTTCAGTGCCATCCTGTTGGGCTTGCTTTGTGCTCGAGTAAGAGTTTGTCTGTGAGGAATAGAGAGTCCACAGCACCAGAAGCAAAAGGAAATGAGAAACTTCAGAGAATCTGGTACCTTATTTGTAGAAACAGGGAAGGGAGATAGCAGCCTCTCAAGTCTTTTGAGTCCTAGAAAATACATTAATTGTCAAAATGCTAAACCAGAGGACTTACATTTGTTTTGATAAACTGTTCTGAAACTATAGTATCCTCGCATAGATAAATACTGAGGGGAAGTTTAAAACTTTCTCATTAGCATGTGTTAGGTACTACTGTAGTCCTGAGAGATTTCACTTACACAGTGAAGTACTGTTTCAGTGAGAATACTATTTACTGTTAATTCAATTAAATACCATGTGAAAGCAGTGAAACCAATCTTTCTTATGGAGTGATATGGTCACAGGCGTGACGCACAGTCATACTCATTATCTAGCATCATTTTTTTTAAAGGGGGACACTAGCACCCAGTGTTGAGCTGAGAATTTAGACACCTGTTCATATAGCCCCTGGAAATGTAAGTCTGCATAATGTGGATCCCTGCTCTGGGCTCATTCCTCAAAGTGGCAATGCAGATTTTTGTGGCTGTCTGTAAAATGCACACAAGTTGACCATTATTCACAACTTCTAATTAAAAGCATCTTGAGGGTTTCTCTTTGCAGCCAGCTGAACGCTATGAATTCTGGCGATGTGGATTTCATTAGCCAACCACAGGCCAAGGAAAGGTTTTCAGTCGAAGATGAATGACAGCTAATCCTGCTGCTATTCCATTTGTCTCTGGTGCAAGCCTAATAAATGACTACACACATCCTTGTCCATGTGTTGGCAGAGGGAGTGCAAACATGGCATATGACAACATACCAAACAGTGTGTAATCACTGCAAATTATAGCCTAAATAATTCCTCCCCTTAACGGAGCAGGATCAGGTTTCTCTCGCTGAACACAGCACGATGGGCCAAGTCCTCCTTTCCTCAGCACGTAAGGCCTGGAAAGCAGCAGAACGGCATGGCTCCATTTTGCTGGGAGAGGACAAGCAGCAGAGAGGCTGTAGAGAGGAGGAATGTGCTGAGTAGAACTGGTTTAAAGACAAACCTTTTGTTCCACAGGAAATTCGGAGTGCCGGGGGAAAAAAATTGGTAAATTTTCTCTGTTTCAGAATGAAACACGGATTTTAAAAAAAAAAACTACTTCCCCAGTGTAGGATGAAAAAAGAGGGGGAGGGATGAAGTAATGAAAAATAAGCAAAACCACTGCACTAGAAGCAAAATTCAAAGTAAAACTGGGCTGGGAAGTGCAGGGTCTGATGCTTACGGCTCAGCCAGCATTCCCACGGCTTTTGGTTTTCCTTTTGCCGAGCTGGGAGCTGAGCCCTGGTAAAACAGGGGAGCCCAAAGCTTCAGGAAGCCTTGTGGTCCCTGGCTACAGGGCAATCTGCATGGCAGGGCTGTCCTGGAGTTGCATACCCTGAGAGTCCAGGCTTCCAGGCAGCCCACCAGGCGAGCTGGCAGGAAACCAGCTTGGAGCCTTGCCTGTGCTGTGTTGGAAGTTCATTGAATCCGATATGGCTCCCTGAAGCATTTCAGTTCTGATGAATTGGCATTTTCCAGTGAAAACCTGTTTTGTTGCTAAATTCCTCACCAGCTGTAGCCCTGGATGCCATGCAGCAGCAATTCTGGCACCCTGCACTTGCAGGTACTTCCTCATGGGTGTGGTTGGGATGGTGTTGAGTCCTTGTCAAAATTTGTGTTAAAAAGATGAGAGAACAGAGGGCTGCAGGGCTGGTGTTACTTATCTGTCCCTCTAGTGCAGGAGCATTTTTTTTGTTGTTGTTTCTGTGCTGATCTTTCGCACGAAGCCGCTTTGCTGAGGTTTTCTGTACCAAGATTGGCACTAAATCTTTAGAGAAGAGTGGTCTGCCAGTTCTCGAGGATGCCTTTACCATGAAAAATCATGCAGAACAATTGATGGGAGTTCCCAGCATGGGGAACTCAGTGTGTGATGTCCATAAATCCAGAAGTTTTTTTTTTAAATGCAGTAGAGCACATAGTGTGCCAAGTTAAGAAATCAAGTAACAAGTTGATTAAGCATCCTTCAAAGAAAGGGGAAAATTGGAAAACGCTAAAAAGTAACTCAGAGAATATTCCTTTTCTGCACATCCCCAGATGGGACAGATGCTGCATCCTTTGGCTTCTCATCTCTTGGATTCTGATCCTTGTCCAAGTGAATGGGAAACTCATCCATTGGGGGGTGGGGGTGGAGGAAAGGGGGGGCATAGGCACCAAGAAACTCTTCCAAACAATTTCTGTCTGCCAAAGAGACCGTTTCAAACATCGCTCCGTAGCATAATCCCGTCTGTCACAGCTCTTGTTGTTTTACAGAAACCAACTGAATTTTCTGCTTGTGAAAAAAGAAAAAGGCACACACTGCACAGTGCGATCAGGCTCCAACAAAATTATCATGCACCTTCCTCGCTACCCCAAAAGGGAATAAGCTCCGTTATGGACAGAAACCTTTAGGCTGTTCATCAAAGCTAGAAATTACTCTTCCATCTGAGCAATTACAGCAGAATATAGTGTAATTAAACAATACCCAGCTAGAGGAAAGAACATCTTTTTATGGTAGTTAAACTGTGAGTCTCTTGAATCAAATCCAGTCATCAAAGTGGGACTCTAGATTTAAAAATGTGCATTTTTATATGCTGAGATGAAAAGTCATAATTTTATGTAATTCTTGTCTGCATACCTAGAGTTCACAGAACAACATGTAACAAGTAGATTAACTTAACTCTCATACAGGACACACAAATATTTAGGATAATTTTAGAGTTAACCTTTTGTAATGAATGTGAGTAGTTTCACTGAAAGTCAGTAAGTCTTGGCTTGAGAAAAAAAGTTGTAAAAGGAAAATCAAGATAGAATCATTAGCCAGTCTTTTGTGACTCTGCTTAAAGTCAGCAGCTTCTGAGGGAGCTTGTTTGGGGAAGAAATTGAACACTGCCTTAAAAACTGGAGTTATTTTCTGAAGAGAACTGCCTGAGAATTTGGACCTTGATGCTTCAAGCTTTGAGAAAGTTTATATGATTCTCAAGTCTGATGAGATCTTAGTTTATAAGTTAATGGCAAGATTTTTCTAAATGCCAGCACAGCAGTATTAATCTGGTGTCTGCAAATCAAGCTGTGTTTTGTTTTGTTCAGAGTTGTCAGAAGCAAAGACAGCTGGAATTTGAATTTGTCCAGCAATGATAATGTATGAAGCAGCTTAAAAGGCAGTTTTCCCCCTTGCCACTGTGCTGGCCTGGTTAACAATTGTAGTCTTGCACAATTTCTCAGTTGGCTGGATGTAAAGTGCCTTTGGAGGAGGACACAGTGGCCCTATCCGTGCTGGGTTTATTAAATAATTTGAAACTGCTTTCAGGCATAGCTGGCTCAGGACATATTTGTGCTATCATTGCTAACCTATAGTGATAAGAAAACATGATGCAATAGACTGTAGTGACCAGTGATACAGAATTATCCGCACAACCTTGCTGGGTAAATCGTTCCCCAAACTCTTGGTGACACAGTGTAAACCACATAAGCGCCAGGGCAGTTATGTACCGATGGCAAAGCACCCCTTCTATAGCCATAATTGCCGTTTGAGCCTCACCCTGTTTCTCTGCAGCGTGGGTAGGAATTGTCACAGGAGACAATGGGATGTGTTGCTAAAGGAAGGATTCCAGCTTTGAACTGAGTCACTGGTATGTTAATTACTTACATGAGGATAGGGCAGGATTTGGATCACATAGTGACAAGCACTGATTTACAAGAGGAAAGGGTGGTGCTAAGCCAGCCCACACAGCAAATGTAGAAAGCTGGAGCGAAGCCCTGGTTCTGCACCGCAGAGTGATGCTGTTTGGTATTCTTGGCCAGGCAGGGAGAAGAGGGTAAAATCTGGATTATCCTGTTTAAAAGCAGGTTCCTGTGTTTATCCTTAACTAACTGCTGCACACAGGTACTTTATGGGAATAAATTAATGTCAGCAAAATTATTTGTGATCTTCAGATGCAGGGTTACTGAAGAGATGTGAAGTAGTAGCATTCATCAGACATTGGAAATAATTAAAAAGAAAGGCCATTTTTTGGGTAGAAGTTAAGCACCGGTAATTCTTGGTGTTGTTTTTTTCCCATATGATACCAAAATTGCTTTCCCTTAAGAGATACATATTTACTCCTCAAAGGATGGAATTAATTTAATTTACAATCACCCAGGTAAAAACTAGAAGTTTAGTCTCCACCTGGTCTCTGGGCCCTCTAGAGTATCACTGGAAACAGAAAGGCATTCAGAAGGTAGTTTATTCCCTCTGCATTAGACACCCATGTTGTGAACCAGAGCTGCCTATTTCTCTCCATCAAAGAGAGGGCCCAGACAGCTGACTTAAGCTAGACACCCAACTTTTAGATGGGTACAGACAGATAAAATGGATTTCATCCACAGAAAGCAATTTTGATTTTGATGTACTAGAAGCGCAAAACCTTACTGTAAAACGGATTGTAGCAGAGCACTTAACATCCCAGCCACTAGATGAAGGTTAGATGTTTACCATCATTCCTCAGTGTTGCCAACTTATGAAGACAACTTCAAAAGGTTGGTAATTAACACCTTTTGAATGAACAGTTTGAATCCAATTCAGAATGCCTTCTTACAACAGTTTTACCCGTCTGACATATCTTTGTGGTCATCTTTTTCATTCTCTTTACCCACACAAAATTAGGGACTTGTATTGGAACAGTTGTATTCACCCAAATGAGTGATCAGTGTCAGCTTTCAGGCAAGAAAAGGATGTTTTCCATAAGGTCGTCACTGGTGGAGTCTCATGGGGCATGGACACCTTTGTATGCCCATGACCTGTGCAATGGCTGAATTTCTGGGCTCCCTGGGAAATTAGCTAGAAATTTGCAAATTCGATTTGCAGAATTTTGCAAGAGCCCTCTTTTGATGTTGAGAGTAGTTCTGCCTTGGCTCCAGATTTTTTAGGATAACCCCATTCATTAGCAAGGAGGAACAAAAATAAACAGAGAGGCATGAGTGTATTGTAATTGACTGTGATTTAAGAAACACTACACTTGCCAGAGGCATTTACTGGGACGTATATAGAAATCTAACAACATTATCAGAAGGAAGCCAATGGCTTTGTTTAGGTTCCCATGAACACTGTTTCACAAACATAAGGCTCAGTTTGTTATCTTCAATTTCTTCTTCTTCTCTTTTTTTTTGTGTGCGTGTTTTTGTCTCATCTCTTTATTAGGCTTGGAAATTTCATGGGATGGAGACAGTTTTGTGGAAGTCATGGCTGCACCGCATCTGAAAGGCAAACTCTGTGGTCTGTGTGGCAATTACAACGGGCACAAGCGAGATGACCTGATTGGGGGGGATGGGAATTTTAAGTTTGACGTGGACGACTTTGCCGAATCCTGGCGCGTGGAGTCCAACGAATTCTGCAGCCGCCCGCAGAGAAAACCAGTGCCCGAGCTCTGTCATGGGACGGTCAGGGTGAAACTCCGAGCTCACCGGGAATGCCAGAAACTCAAAGCATGGGAGTTTCAGAGCTGTCATTCAACGGTGGATTATACCACATTTTACCGGTAAGTGTGGTTTGCTGCAGAGGGAGATAGTAAGTTACTGTGCGAGGAGAAAAACCACACAGTTGGCCCAATTTCAGTAGCGTTTGAGCATATGCTTTGAGCTGCTTTTGCTAAGAATTAATATACAGGCTTAGAGTTATATTATGATGAGCTTTTCTGAGTCAGGGATCAGAAGAAGATGGTCCTAAGCTAATAAAGACCCAAGCAGCCAACAGTGAGAAGGGCAGGCAGGCTTGTGATCACCTAGAGAAAAAGTACTTTTGGAGACTGAGGAGAGAGGGGGAAGAGACTTCAAAACATTTTGGTACGCTCTTTCTGATTTCAAAGTCAGCTGTAAAGTTGAGGCTGACTTTAATTGCTATTGCTTGTGGTCCAGAGAAGTGTGTCTTCCCAGAAGCATTTTGAAAATTACTTTATTAAAGCAAGGATATTAAATATTACTGGTGCCTCTTGGATGGTGTAGTTTGTGGGTTGAGACTTTGAAAGGAGAGAGTTAACAAAAAGTTCAGTGCATGCCCATCCTGCCCTGGGAGCAAAGGAAGACAGACGAGGATCTAGAAGCCTTGTCTGAGTGAATTATTTAAGATTTTTTATCTTTAAAATGCTTCCAATCTAAACCACAGAGACATAACTTCTGTTCTTTAATTGGCATGAGTTTATTTGCCCCTCACTCACTAAATAAAATTGGCTTTTCTTTTGATTGCCTGACATAAAAGATAAAAGCAAGCCGAGTCACAGTTGTACGATGGCGGATGGAGCTGCCTGATCTCTGCGCTCCCAGCTTTCCCCACTTGTGCACATCTGCTGAACTATTGGGCTTATTAGGAAAAGCTTTCTAAAATGACTCCGTTTCCCTTATGAATTGCCTTTCTTCTTCTTTTATAATGAGACAGAAAGACTTTTATCTACCCCAGCAGAATACGTCTGGGACTGGGAAATGCTAGAAGACATACAGCTTGGCTTGTAGTCTATGTGCTTCTGCATTTAGTTTGTTATAGTGTATCCCTATGCTAGAAGCCTGGCAAAGAGTGAAGATTGTATTGTGTGCAGGTTATAATACTTTATCTTTTCCAATGGCTGGAGGCACAGCAGAGAGCACTAGAGATGCTAACACACACACAGTGTCTGTTGAATGCATTTCAGCAACATTCCCATCTCACTTCCATCGTCCTCCAAAGGTAAGTGATGACAATGCAAATGGAAAACAGGCACAGAGAGATTTGTTTCATTTTGCAGTGGATTTTTTGTCCCTTTTTTAAAGTAGCTCATGATTAATTTAGTGCAATACACTTCCTGACACCACAACGGAAAATGATTTATATTTTGGCTACAGCAGCCAGAAAAAAAATCTCTATATGCTTGCACACAAGAATTACTGTAGAACATTTCTGTTCCTTTAAAATAATGTCCTCTATTTGTCCTCGAAAGACAATGTTATCAAGCAAATACTTAATTTGATTATGTCCTTTTGTAGAAAAGTCTATTTTTCCCTAAGGAAACTTTATGTTGAAATGACCATCATATTCTGTCAGAAGTAGCTGTTCGTTTGCTTCCATTTGGATGTTGCCAGCTGTTAGAATGCTTAGCTCCCAATACAGGAATCAAAGATAAAATATAAATTAAAATTAAATAATGGTATTTAGTGGAATGCTACTTCTTGTTAGAAACTGACAAAGTTGTAGCAAGCAATTTATTCAGTGACCATGGCCATTTTTCATACTAGGAAATTCCTGCAAGGAGGTAATGATTATGGGACACACATTCAAGAAAGTTCTGGGAACCCTTCTAACATAAATCTTTGCATACATAAATATGTGTGTCTGTGTGTGTATAAGTATAAATATGAGTACTTAAGAAATTTGCATTTTTCATGATTTTTTTTCAAAGAACCCATTGCTGATGATGTATTTTTGCAGAAAATTTAAATTACCATTAAAAGAAATTTAAATTAACATTTACACCTTTTTACTGAGGTCTTTTAGAAAAGCATATTTAGTCAATGTTTTCTAATTTCAGGCTAGGTTTAACTAAAATTTCTCCAGTTCTGCTTTTCTGAATATGATCAAGCTCCTAGCAGGAAGAGAAGTGAAGAGGCAGAATGGTAGGGTCAGTTTCTTTCCTTTTTCTATTCATCTCCTCTTTGAATTGAATAGCTTCTCAGTTTTTACCCTCCAACATTATGTATTATGGAATTTTTCCATTTGAAATACTGCATTCTCAAGAGTTAACCTTTCATGGTCATTCTTGCCTATATTATCAACATTGCCTCATTTTCATTATGCTGCTCTGGTACTGACCTGCTGTTAATAAGAATTCTCAGAAATAGAAATAAACTCAGCGGGCACATTATGAATTAGGGTGTGTTTTCTCCAAATACCAAAAAAGGCAGTGAACAATGCATTGCAAACATTTGTCTGACATTGTGTTACTGGGGAGATTTCTGTGAAGACGTCTCAAATTCATTTTAAGTCTCATTCTTTTTACAGCTGTAGTTTCTCCTTTTGTTATCCATCCAAAAAACATATACAGCAAGATTGCCATGACTGTTAGGTGAAAAGGACATGGTTAATGTTTTAAAGAGTAGAGATTTAGCTGCATGGTTGTGGGGTGAAGAACAGCTAACTCCTGAGCTTGACCTTGATAGATCTGTGACGCCTTAGTAGAAATGGTTGTGCACCTTGCCCTTAACCCTTTTTTTGATGTTGTGACTTTAGTGACTTGTGTTTCTCTGCAAAGCGCATGGTAGAAGAAAGCACAATATAAGCGCACAAGAAAGGATTTTGAAATAGTCCAGACTGCAAACTAACAATTTTAGCATCTAATTTTATACCACTCTTTTAATTCTTTGTTTTGTAACTAGACACGTTTTATGGGCTTTTAATTGTGGTTTGTTTTGTTTAGTTTTGGGTTGATATTTTTGTTTGTCTTTAATACATTGCTAGTTGTTCAGTACTCATGAGTAATACTCTAAAAATAACCCTTAGGGTTGAACTTTATAGAGGCAAGTTCATTAAGCAGGGAAACGATTTTGAATTTCCAGGAGATTTTGATGAAGTCTGGGTGAAGGAGAAATTAGCAGTGACAGTCATCACCATTGCCACTTGTCTGTTGTGATATTTTAATATGGCTAAGCAGCCTGGATTAGTCCTTGCCATAAAAAGAAAAAGTTACCAAGGTTACTCTAAAAACCAAGCAGGTTTTTAGAGGGGATACTTTGACCATGTATGCAATAAAGCTTGCACTCAGACTCCTGAAGCTGCTCTTGAGTATAAGTATCACTAAAAATAGGTAATACCCTCTGAATTTCTCATGCTGCTGTTACCAGAAAAAGCTCTATCACATTATTAAGTCATATTATGGTACCATTTAAGCTCTTGGACAGGGATTTGGGGAGCTTAGGGGACTTGAGGAAGGAGAAGAGGACTTTCTGTGCTCACCAAGCCCTAACCCATGGCTGATCTTATTGTGTGTCTTTGAGCTGTGCTGAAGCAAGGGCCTGGAGGTGACTCCAGCCCCAGTGAGGCCAGGGAGCAATGTGGCATGGGGGGCAGGTCCCCAGTGTGTGCCCCCATGCCTGCTTTGCTCGGCCACGGCTGATGCCTCTCGGGAGTCTCCTTGGGAGGCACAGGAGCAGGCAGCCCCAAACAGGGGTGCAGGGACCACAGTGAGAGAGGCATAGCAACGCTGCTCGATACAGGGACAAGTTGGGCTGCAGGAGACACCGTAAAGGAAGGCACAGGACTAATACTCCTAGTAACACCTGCCCTCATTAGCCTCCATGGCTGTCTAGTAGGTTTTTTTTAATAGTTTGGTATCACCAACAGATTTGGAATGTGACATCAACACGGTATCAGTATATCACCCATCTCTAATACGCCTATACAGCAGCTGAGTTCATAAATGACTAGTTAGACATTGCTCAAGACTCTCACTACTACCATAACTTTGGAAAAATATTCAATGTCTTGCTTTTGCCATGCAGTAGATTTCCCCATTTGAGATTGGAAAATTTGTGCTCCTAATTCTTGAGACAAGTCTTTTTATTTTTATTACTCTTCCTATTATTATTATATATTTTTGTTATTGTTGCTATTATTATTATT